GCTCCTGCAGATATGCCGCTTGTTACTGAGTTATGGTGCTGATGTCAACCTGGCGGACAAGGAGCAGCGCACCCCACTTCACAAGGCAGCTCACAACATCCAACACAGCCTCGTGACACTGCTACTGGAACATAAAGCTGAGGTGAACACGTTTGACCACAATGGCCGACTGCCACTGTCCTGCGTATTGCACAGCGCTGCCGTCAAGGCTGAACGGGAGCCACATCGAGTGGCACAGATACTGCTTAACCACGGATCCATCAAGTTGTGGCCTCAGGCACTACCAAAGGTATTACACATTATCTAATACCCTGCCAAACTGAAATTACTATGGTACTCCATATATCCTTACAGAGCAGAACAAGTAAACATTTAAAATGTTTGTACTTAAAGGTAGCTGTGAAAACATAAATATTGAATATAAGTTAATATTTTGTCTTTGACTTCAGGCCCTGAGTATGTGTTCTGCAGAACCAAAGACTGTTGAAGTCCTGTTCAATTCCTACACCCATATCCCAGTCACATGTCAATGGGAGAAGACCATTCAGGCAGAAACGCTCCAGGTAGTGAAAAGGGCCCACTCCCCAAAACTTTATCTTTTATCAGTTTTCATTTCTTACATTCTTTTACATGGTTTTATTGTGGGACATGATGGAAGGATGATCCATGGTGTGGCTTATAGACAAAGGGGTTTTAATTAAAAATTAAATACAAATCGGGAAAAAAGGGCCACAAGGGGTCATAACAATAAATAATTAAAGAATAGACACAACAATAAAAATAGGAACTGACCATTAAAAACAGGAAGTGAGGAAACATTATCATGGATCTATATTACCATGAAACTGGATCTTTTTTTGCGGGACACATCACCATGGTAACTCATGCTACACAGCAAAAGTTTTAAAGGGTGACATTTAAGTACAATAAAATGTGAATGGATGGATGAACAATAGATCGATCAAATGAGTCGAAAAGCACGTAAAATGAGAAATAAGTCAGACTTTCCCGTAATCCTGCTTCGTGGAACACCCCCCTGGTCTACGCAGTGCCTGGGTGCTGTTGGTTTTATTTTCTCCGTATTGGTCCAACAGTCCTTACTGTGATGCCAAACTTCTTGGATAAGAGCTGTGTGGTAATTAGCACAAGAAGGTGCAAGGCGTTGAATCAGGTGTGTTAAATGAAGGGAAATCCAAAAATGTGTATTAGGACTCCGGGATTGGAGTTTGATACCCCTCCTCTAATGCATTAAGAATCCTGTTGTGCCCTGCTGTGTGTAATTTGTAACTGTAAACGTTGTCAGCTAACACCTGGATATTATCTCTGTCACCCTTCAGATACATCAACAGTTCTACCAGTCACTGTTTGCACTGGGATGCAGGCCTCGCTGCTTGCAGCACCTGTGCCGTGCTGCTATCAGACCACACTTTGGGAAGGACTGTCACAGGCTCATTCCACAGCTGCTCATTCCAAAAGCTCTGCAGCTCTACCTCTTACTGGAGCCTGTGGGGATCATCCGTTAGCAAGAACCCCATAAAATGCTTATGCATCAACTGCATCTACAGCATCTGAAGTGTAGTTCAAGTCCAGCGGCCCCGGGGGCCCCTCTGGTGTTTCTCTGGCCCATGACCTGTGCTGCCCTTATCCATGTCTGTGTTGCCCTTATCCATGTCTGTGCTGCCCTTATCCATGTCTGTGCTGCCCTTATCCATGTCTGTGCTGCCCTTATCCATGTCTGTGCTGCCCTTATCCATGTCTGTACCCTTGCTCTGTTTGTCCCTGCACCTGTACGCCTTGTCTTTGTTCGATTGTCTGCTCCGTCTGGTCGTGTCCATTTCCCAACCCGATAAGGTCTTGCCTGTCCTGGGTCCCATTTTGTACTGGTCATATGTCTTGTCCTGGTCTTGTATGGAGATTCCCCTTGTCCACGGTTGTTCCTGAGTCTGTATAGTGCCCCTTGTGGTGTAGTAGTCCTGGTTCTTTGTGGGTTTCTGTGTGGTGAGGCAAGACACATAGTTTCTCATACGTTCAGGTTAAGAACAAGATCTGTTACCCAAGTCTGTTAATCTCCAATTTGTAGATAGGCTGGAAAAATAATGCAATGCATAATTATTAAACAGTAATAAAAGCAACTACATATGGAACTGTACCATGAGTCGACTAACCGCTGAGGCTGTGCAATATTTCCACAGGCATCACAAAGTGTGTGCAGTTATTTTTTATATAATATTTTTGCCTTTATGGCAGTATGTAAGAGTTGTCCGTATGTTGGATGTTTTTAATATGTGGACTCCCTGCACTATACACCAGTGTTTATGTTGTGAAAAAGCCAACAGGACTCAAAAAAAGTTAGATTTATGAATTAATCACTGCAATTAAGTTATTGATCCATCTTCTATGCAGTACAGGGTGACACTCAGCCTAGAACCTTCATCCAAAGAAAAGGGCATGAAGCAGGACTGATGTCAGGTTACCAAATTTAATTACCCAGTTTAATTTCAAATACGAAATGAAGTAAACTTTGGACAATGATGATGACTCTGACCAAACAATATGATTCGATAAGATATGGAGGAGAATACTGAATACTGAGGAGAAAAGTCCTGACCATTGTGTTGTATTCATGTTCAAGAGAGTGCATGGTGTATTACAAAAATAAAACAAAAAAGTCAGAAATGCCTGATTTGTTTTTAGCCAAAGATCAGAAGAATTATAAGAAATTATTAAAATATATGCTTTTTATAACTGTATTGTTATAATACATAATATATAGTATGTTTTAATATAACGTTTCTGGATACGATCCTGACGAACAAGACAGAGCTAAAATTATTATGTAATTGTGTAACCATTTTAGTTTATTTTTTCACTCCCATAAAATAAAGTCAAGTTTTATGACATCCCAATAATGCGTATCAAAAAACAAGATGTTCGAGTTGCGTCCTACAGTGATGAGGATGTGGGTTATTACACCCTTCACACTCCAGTCCAGTAGGTGGCGATAATGCACCTGTGCGATGGGGACAACCGGAAAAAAGCTCTCCGTGAAGAAGAAGGTAGTGGTCTACACGTTGATCCAGCATGGCAGATAGTTTGAAGCGGTAAGGCAATACAACTGTAACTGAATATGGGCAGAAACGCTTCTTAATTACTCAATATATGTTTTTTTTTTGGTTAAAAGTAAAAACAGTTCTACACGTGTATGAAGTATGTCATCCGATAATTGTGTATCAACCTACTGCATCCATTTTTTCTTGTCAGTAAAAAGCTGTTCGATTTCTTCTTATTTGTCCGATTTGTTGCTCTAATTGCGGAACAAATAACACAAAGACTGTTCGTACTAGTTAAGAAATTTCAAATACGATAAAAATCTAACTCCTTCGAACGGGTCTTCAGTGTTTTCGGGTAATCAAGGAAGGTGAACTAGTTGGTACTCTCTTGGTATACATACAGTCGTATGTGAGCATTAGATATGAGTTAAATATTAGCTCTTTTATACAGTTAAGTTATTGTCAAGCAACCATTAAAAACTTGAGCATTACATTATAGTATGAGGGAATTGTATTTGTAGTGACGTTGGGGCAGACTTTGTTTTAGAATGCTTTAAGCTTCATCCGTACAGCATGAAACTTTGTTTTTCTACAACTTTCTAGATGATGCTTTTTGTACTACAAACTATGATAGGACGGACTGTAAGAGGTGGCAAATACATTTCCAAAGCGTGTAAAATTGTATACTTTTGAGTAAACGGTCTGGTATTCTGACGATTTGTCCTACCTTGTCCAGTAGTCCTACCGTACCGCGATTCGACAGACGTATCAATCGATTGGTTCTCCCCACCGTCATTTTTATGGGCTGAAACTGAAAGCGCATAGTCCTAACAATAATAAGTAATTAAATTTAAAAAAACAACTTACTAATGTGAGATGAGTAGTCTATAACGATAGTCTGAAATACCTTATCATTGTATTGCCAGTGTTAAAACTACAGGTAGCATAACTTGATTGGTTAAAACACATTTTTAGAACATCCTACCTTTATAAAAGACGTGTGTGGCCAATTTCGATGTACGGAAGTACTTCATAGGAATGTGCTGCCATAAATATGTGTGCATTACTGACGCGTACAGTATTCATGTCAGGAGATTTGATATGCGATGTATAAAACACCGATTGTAAATCAGCATGATACTGATAGTAAAATGTGTTAAATGTGCTTGATAAAATATGTAAAATGTATGAATGTTGACAAACGCATGAATCGGCTCTAACTCCAGCAAGGTAGGATGGATTGATGGGTGGTACTTCACATCCCGTGCACGACAAATGGGATGTGATTTTGTTATGCGCATGTGCAGAGTCCAAAGGTAGGTTGTTTTGATAGGTACTGTAGGATGAAATGTTAGAACCACCTACCTGCAGGCCAGGTTGATGTCTCATTTGACACTCCAAGACACTAAGTGGATCTGATTGCTCCAGTTTTTACTGGGATCTTGAATAACTCCCTGCATGCAGGCTGGGTCCTAGGCTGTTTCAACGTGGCTACGATCGTAGTAATCGTGGTTAGTGGTATATCAGCGTCCTTTTAGAACAGGTTAATTTATCTAAACATCATGTGACAGACCATGTGACACATTGCACACAGGTGGATCTTAATAAACTAATTGTGATCTATAACGTTATTTGGTTGGACCAACTCTTATTTAGGGGTTTCAAAGCAAAGGGGGCAAATACCTATGCACACTCAAATTTCTGTTTTTTTTTTTTTTTAAATCTTAATTATTGTGTCACAATAAAAAAAATGCACCTTTACAGTGGAAGTCATGTTGTGTGAATCAAATGATGCTAAACTCCCCCAAAATCAATTCCGGTTCTGCCTGAAATGTGACAAAACAGGACATGCACCAAGGGGGATGAATACTTTTGCACGGCACTGTAAACTTGCCTAGGACCTCATTAATCCGTCACCCAGATGCAATGACCCAGGGATAATTCCTACCTTCGCCTTGTCTGATATGGTATATGTGCAGTATCTTTTCAACTTGCATTATAATGAACAACCATTTTTAAATTGTAGGTCTTGAGCTATGTTAAGATGTCTTACACCATGTTGCCTATAGAATCGTCTTCTGTAAATTATTGTATTTGTGTTCCATAATGTTCTGTGAAGTGTTTCTCTTGTATTTCTTGTAATATTGTTATGTACTTCATGTTTGCCATTGGACTACAAACAGTTCTGGTATGTTGGTACATAATGGCAGTAAAGTGAGTTCTGATTCTTTCTCATGCAGGAAACTGGAGGATTTGAGTGTAGACGAGTTCCTGGCCTCTGGCTTTGTCTCAGATGCCGATGGAGACTCGGAAGAAGAGGTGCCAGTTTTGCAGAATGGAGAGAGCAAGAAATCTACAATATCAAATTCTGCAGCCCAAGACAAGTAAGGAATTGATCATGTTTTGGAGACTGACACAGAGCTGTTGTAACCCTAGATGAGTGCAGGGTTGGGGTGCCAAGCAAGTAGTCTTTTCTTTTTTTTCCCCAAACAGATTATTTTTTTTATCTTTCCTATTATTGCCCATCACCACCACCTCCCCTCTTTGGAGGACAAATTTATTTTACATTAAATTAAAGAGTAAAGAGTGTGGCCGCTCCGAACTCACCCGTCCTAGTACCGTGATTATAAAAAAAAAATATAAAAAAAAAAGGGGGGGGGGATACAGAAACAACAATTGTAACAATAACAGACATTAATCACCATGGGGAGAGGGGGAGAAAGAAAAAGAAAAAAAAAGGAAATAAACAGATTTTTTCAACGGTTCAACATCCAACTCTTATACTTATGTCTACAGGTTTTTGTTTGTGACTTGTTAGTGTTTACTAGTAATGTTTTGAATAATTTTAAGGTTTTGAATAATACTCAGAAGGCTAATAAAGGTTATGATACGGTTCCTGTGCCTAGGGCTGAGAAAAAGGCCGGCCAGGCATCCCAGCACAAAGAACAGCTTTCTCGCTTGAAGAGCAAAGATCCAGAGTTCTACAAGTTTCTGGAGGAAAACGACCGAACACTGCTCAACTTTGATGACACAGACAGCTCAGATGATGAGGATGATGAAGATAGCAAATACCACATACTGCCCAGTCACCTTGAGGTATACCTTGCTTTCAATCATATTTTCAATCCTAGATCTGCTGACTGTTACTTTCTGGTAAAAGTTTTTCTTTGGTATGTCTGTGCATGCTGCATCTGTTTTTGTCTTCAGAGTTAATGTATTATTTTTTTGTAAGGATGCCAGTTCTGATGAAGAGGCAGAGAAATCAGCAAAGCAATCCCAGAAATCTGCTGGTGCCATTAAAGTGACGGAGAAAATGATCGACGAGTGGAGAATGGCTATCAGGGTATTTGTGGTTATTTTGGGTTTTTTTGGAGGGATTTTAACTTTGACACTTTCCTCTAATTGGAGGTATTTAGGACTTTTCGCACTGTGATTTTTTTCCTCGCCCTTTTGGACCCCCGGCAGAAGGAACCCACGCCTCGGCTGTTTCGCGAGGTCACGCAGGCCTTCAGAGCCGCAGTGCTGACCACTAAAGGAGAACGTGAAGACTCTTGTCGCTTCCTTGTGGAAGACAGTTCAGGTGGTCCCCCTCCCCCCCCATGTGATAGCCTGCTCCTCAGTTAATGGCTGTCAATGCAGCCTCAGGTGAGACTGTCCTTAATAACTTGGGAATGTTTGTTTCTCCTGCAGTTTTTAATGCCCTGGTGATTTTCTGCATCAGAGAGGTTTCTGTAGCTCTGCAGAAGATGCTCAAACTCAAGGCAGAGAAGAACCAGAAAAAGTAAGAAGTCTGAGTTTACCTTGTGGTCTTCAGAGGTGGAAATTTCAGGTCCAGAAAGTACAAATCCGGACCGTGATTTAGTTTCAACCAACCAGTTGAGCATAAAGAGTCATAGTTACAGAGTACTCCACTGGTTGGTTGAAACAAAATCCTGGTCTGGATTCGTACTTTCTGGACCTGAAATTTCCACCTCTGGTGGTCTTATTGGAAGAAAATTTGATTTTATTATCCGCTTGAACTCCTTGTAGCAGTTTATGTGAAGGGATGCCCTGATTGCATTTTCCTTGGCCTATCCCAGTTGTCCTACCGATACTGATCATGGCTGATTCCAATTTTTTAGTGTAATAAAAAACATTTTTTAACACTTCTTTTAATGAATTTAATTTTCTGCAAGCAAAATATTTTGACACTATCTTGGCTGGCTTGGCTTAAAAAGTTCCACCCCCATTGACTCTCTTTCCTGTCCCAGTCCCGGCATTAATACTGAAATTCACTCTCATCCGAAAAATATTCAGCTTCCAGTGCTGTTTAGGGTGAAAATCATCCATCTCTGCTCCATAGCCAGTTGACCAGTGCATCCCTGTTTACGGTTATTTAACTAGAACCATTTGCAGTGATGACGGGTTGCTGAATTTTGAACAGTTTTATGCTCTTGCTTCTCTTTGCATAGACTAGTGCTGCCATCATCCAGTTCAAAGTGGCAGAAGAATCAGATGGACATCAAGACTTACCTTAATGGCCTTGTTCAGGTATTTCACCCAGTCGCTGTACTGTTCTCATTTCTAAGCCTGGTTTGGCCCTCAGTAATACTCCTTCAGAAACGCTAACGTTCTTCTCCTCGCACAGCTCCTGTCATGCCTGTCGGAGGCCAGCGTCATCGTCGCTGTCCTGCGGCACGCTAACCAGATGGTGCCGTATTTCCTGTGTCTACCCAAGCAGTGCAGAGTCTTTCTAAAGGTATGCATGGCTGTGCTGTGTGTGTCCGTATGCGCGCATGTCTGCGTCTGCGTGGATGCATGTGCTTGTGGCCTTTGTAGTGATCAGTATGTCCATCCCCAGCAACTGATCAAGCAGTGGAGCACAGGCGAGGAGACAGTGCGGGTCCTGTCCTTCCTGGCTCTCAGCAAGATCTGCCGGCACAAGCAGGACCTGTATCTGAACCCCATCCTCAAGGTGCTCCCCAGTTCCACAAATGAGCAAAATACATTTCATGTGTACAAGTAGCTCCATATTTTTGTGGATATGACTTTACACCATTTTTAAAAAACACATATTTGTAGATCTGGCTCTATGGATAGTGGTGCATTTGACCTGACAGAGTCTCTGCCCTCCCTCCAGCAAATGTACATCGCCTACGTGAAGAACTGCAAATTCACTTCGCCCAGCACACTTCCCATGATCAACTTCATGCAGCGGACGCTGGTGGAGATGTACGCCATTGATACCCAGGTCACCTACCAGCACGGCTTCGTCTACATCCGCCAACTGGCTGTGCACCTTAGGAATGCCATGACTATGAAGAAGAAGGTGAGCACAGACTGATTATGCGGCGGTGGGGGGGTGCGGGTGGTAGTGGCCATCCCACATCAGAGTCATAAAATAGCATAGATCAGGGTTTCTCAAACCGGTCCACCAGATAGGAACTGAGACGGAGTAAAAACGCGGACTGTCTGCGGGGCCCCACGGACCGGGGCCCCACGGACCGGGGCCCCACGGACCGGGGCCCCACGGACCGGTTTGGGAAACACTGCCATAGAAGAGACTCCTATGATGGCCTCCCCAATACAAATTTTTTGCCTGCATCTCTGATATACATTAGTGTCACGCAGTACTGATATTTCCTGTGTCTTCTTCATGGTCAAATAATTTTCAGGCCATTTCAGTATAACAGTTAATTCTACTCAGATTGTACATCCTTTCTGCCCTTATTAATCCAGGTTAGATCGTTTCTCATGTGTCTAGTCCTGGACGTTAATGTACTAACTACCTGTCCTCACAGAGGTGTACCAGTGTGTGTGTGTAACCATTCTGTTGTGTCCTCACAGAGGTGTACCAGTGTGTGTGTGTAACCATTCTGTTGTGTCCTCACAGGAAACGTACCAGGCTGTGTACAACTGGCAGTTTGTGCACTGCTTATACTTGTGGTGTCGAGTTCTGAGCACACTGCATCCTAGTGAGGTTTTGGGGCCCCTAATCTACCCACTGTGCCAGGTCATCATTGGCTGCATCAAGTAAGAAGAGTTTTTCCACTTTTACCCCCCAAAATAGAATAATTTACATGAATTTCCACTAAGTGGTACTAATTTTCTTCACGAAAAGTTCAGGGTTTACAGATTTTTAAATGCAGCACAAGCTGGCATTCAAGTAATTGACACAAAATATCAGTTTAAAGATGAAAAAATATAATAATTAATGACAGTTCTATAAAAAAAATGCAGAGTGGAATGCTTTAGTAGTGTTTCTGTTTGTGCTCTTTTGTTCACCTCATGATCTCTTGTGTTTATTTTGGGGGGTTTTTGGAGGGATATCTGACTGTATCTGACTTCCTGACTTTTTAAGAGTAACATTCTCCTTTCTGGAAAATTCAGCTACGCGCCAGCCTTGGCTCTGACGGGCCCAGATATAAGAACTCACTGAAATAAGCTACTGTATTTTATACTTGGCTAGCCAGCAAATGCTTAGATTCTGTTTATTCACCCATTTAAAAAACATCACTTATCTTTCTAAAATTAGTACTAGTAGACGGGTCAAGCTGTTGGAATCTCCTTCCAGTTATATCCATTAGTCCTGGATGTAATTTTGGTTTTAATCACCATCTTTTATGTATGTACACATATGTAAGGTCTCTATACAGACTTTTGATTACAATGGCAAAGCTAAATCCAGGTAATTCCTATAATATGTGTGTGTGATATGCTGCAGATTTTTTCCTTCATCCAGAAATCTAAGCTTTTTGTTAGGCTTTGGGCACAATTTTTTTTTGTTGATGTGCTGATTTAATAATGGTCATATTCTCCTTAAAAAGGATTGTCTTAAGCAGTCAAATACAGCTTTATGTCTCTGAATGACAAAATGACTAAATGAAAAAATACTATACTTAAATGAAATCCAGTTTATTGTCTGTCAGAATATGCTGTATAGTGGGTTTTCACAATTTGGGTTAAGGCTGAACGATTTGGGGAAAATTTCCAATTGCGATTTTTCTGACAGATATTGCGTTTGTGATTTCATTTGCGTTATCTTTTTTTAAAAGTCAAGCTTCAGGTCAGTATTTAGTGTGTAATAGGTTTAAAACATATGACACAGCATCACCAGATCAGATATCATTAAAATATGAACTGGTCTATTGTCTAATGCACGGATGAGAACTTAAAAATGTGAATTGCTTCCAACATTTATCACTTTATTCAACCCTTGTGTACATACCTCGAGTCTTTATTGATCATGTAACTTTGCAACCTTTTACTGAATGCCTCGTTCCTGAATAGTAAGGACAGTTTCTAAACAAACTGACCTTTTTACATCATCATCATGTCATGTGATTCAGTGTGGACGCTGTTCCCAGATTATGCCACATACTGGTCATCTGCAGCAATTTACTATACATTTAATGTAAAATAGCTTAAAATAATTGTTTTATGGTCATTTATTTGCCAAAAAAGTGCAAGGGCTAGTGACCCAAACATGGTAAAGTTGATTGTATTATTACATACACATTTTAAGTGCTGCATTTTCAAACAGCGCTGGGCCACGTTTCCACCCTTACTAAAGCGTTTCCTGAAAGTCCCATGTACACAGTTAAATTAGCAGAGAACAAACACAAAATACTTATCACATAAGCTGTGATAATACACTGTAATAACTGTATTAATTTAAAGTACAGTAATAAAATTTCAGTAAGAAAAAAAAGATAGGAACCCTGCAGCTAACGCTACATGGATGCCTGATACCTATTAGGCTGCCAGAAATCCCAGAATTCCGAGTGCACGTATATTGACTTTGTGCACTTATAATCCTGAATTGTAGTTGTAACGTGGCTTCTGAAAATATGTGCAAATGTGAAGTTGCAAGTCTATGACTTTGAAAAGACAAGTGTGCAAAACTTTTTTGTAAACACAAACTTTGCTGCACGGGTGTACAAAACTAAATTGCAAGTATGAAAATCAATTTTACACAATCGCGGAATTCTGTCATAATACTCTTCAAATAGTAGGACCTTTCTGTAAACAATCTCTGACCATGACATAGGTAGATAATTACCTTACAGCTGAGCAGCATAATCAATATTTTTTCACATTGCGAACGTAACGTTTTCCATGGATTTCATATTTACTTGCTGGTTGTGGGTCACTTCTCATTGGTGAGCATGACTGGCACATGAGAAACACAGCACTTCTGATTGGTCAGAATGACTGGCACACAAGGAGAATGGCATGAATTTGTAAAAATATTCTCACGACAGACGTACTGCTGTATCACAGTGTTCGCAATTTGCTAATCGTGTTGATTCAAATCTCGATTTCTATCTGAAATCGATAAATCGTTTGTCCTTAATTTGGGTCCTTGAAACATACATTGCAGTAAGTTCTTAATTATTCTATTGCTCTAATATTACCCACGAAATACAACTACATCCGATCCCCACTCCTGTTCAAAATGTGATGGCTGAAATAAGGGATTGACACTTGCATTATCACAAACTACCACCAGATGGGAGTGTTGAGTTTGGAGTTTCTTGTGCAGTATGTTCTCCTGTAATGTTTTGCAAACAAATTTTCTTCAATGCAATTGATATATGAGGAAACATTTACATTATCACGTGATGTTTATATTTTTTCATGAGCAATTTTTATTCACGAGAAACTCCATCTTGGACCTGGGACACACACACATACCTGAAACAGCCAGTTGATGCATAACTTCAACGTATGTGTTGTCCTATGAGTGTTTGCTTTGTTATTCTTCCGTATTAATATGGAATGAGAGGACGTGATGTGGTGAGAGCAAAATCGACCTTATGCACCATCAGAGACAATGTTGTGAAAGTGAAACCAAGTTCACAAGCAGCTGCACGCAGAATCTCCTCCTTACCCACCCCAGTGAATCATGGAGCTACAGATCAAGATCTTACTTAAAATATTTTATGCCCAGAAAGTGGACATGGAATTTCCATTAAATCGTGTGCTGCTTAGGAACCCTGAATTTTCTCAGACAGTTTGCATGTTTAAATAAACTATTTACCATTTTAAGAGCGAGGCCTCTGTTCCTGTGTGTGACAGGCTGGTGCCAACGTGCCGCTACCTTCCCCTGCGCCTGCACTGTGTCCGTGCCCTCATTCTGCTGTCCGACGGCACCAAGACGTTTGTCCCTGTGCTGCCCTTTCTGCTGGAGGTAGGCAGGCCGCGTCGCTCGCTCTGTCCACGTGTCTGTGTGGTGTCTCTGTGAACAGCTGACCTTGACGAAGACGAGCGGAAGGCCTTGCCGTTGTTTGCCGCTTACAGGCTCAGCAAGTCTCTCTTTGTCCTGCTCTCTGCCTTTTTGCCAGACTGTTCAAACCACATCCGCTCTGCTTGACAGCCAGCACCTCCACCCAAGACCAAACACACTAGTGTGTTAACACAAGAACTATGCTAGTGTATTTGTTTGTGACACTTCCTGTCTTTGCTCATTCTGTGAGACGCGTGGCGCTGTGTCCCAGCTCCGCTGCTAGGCCGCGCTCTGTGATTGTCAGCTTCCTGCCACACTCACTCCCCGCTGTCATGCAGCACGGGCTCAGCCCCCTTCCCGCTGCCTCTCGCCGACAGCAGCCACATCCCATGTTTACACTGGCGACTCGGCCTTGGCTATCATTAGCGCGCACACTTCCACCCACACACACTTCTTCTTTTCTCAGTACCCCCCCCAGTTCCTTGGAGGGGAGAAACATGCCTGAAACTGCACTACAGCCCCCTCACTGGCATGAGGAGCTGGGTACCTTACCAGAAAAAGACAGATTCAGTTCTGTGTCTATTAAAATAATGCTCAGCTTGGAAAAAAAGAGGCTTCACTTGAAGAATTCTATCACATGCCTGTTACATTTTCTCTTCCTTGAATGACTGGGCAGTGATCTTTACCGTTTACACATGTGATTGCCATAATTTCTACTGGACAATTTTTTTTTTTCTTCTTTAACTGGTGATTTTTCTCATGCTTTGAGTAGCAGTATGTATCCAGTGTCAGCATTCAAGTGATTTATTCGCAATGTCACTTTTTCCTTTAATTAACGTGGTGAAAAGCTGTAATACGTGTGTGTGATTGCCGGCATTGGCTAAGTGCACCTTTCAAATTCTCCGCAGGTCTTTCTGCTGGTGGACTTCAACAAAAAACCAGGCAGACTCACCACCAAGCCCATCAACTTTGCAGTCATCCTTAAGCTGAGTAATGTCAACCTGCAGGAGAAAGCCTTTAAGGTGCCTACCTGATCTCCTCGCTCATTTCCTTTTAAACCATTTTAGTTTTGGTGCTGTTTCATGAGTCAGTTTCATTTCCTGTTACTCGCTAAGGTGATGAGCTAATTCTCTGTGCTTTGCTACCTGTCTGCTATACTGAGCTGCTATAAGTTCAAAGGTGTAACTATAAAATTTGTAATAAAAGGTAACCTTAGAACATGCTGATGAATAATAAATGTTTGACATCCTGTGTTTCAACAAACTATACAGCTGTATAGATGAGGGAGATGGTTCTAGGTAAAGCTTATGTCAAGCAATTCAGTAATTTAGTGGTGGGATTGTAACTGGTGCTTGTAGGAGTTTCTGTGTGCTGTTCTTCTGACTTGCGATGGTGCTGTGTCCCAGGACGGCTTGATCGAGCAGCTTTATGACCTGTCGCTGGAGTACTTCCACTGCCAGGCCAGCTCCATCGGCTTCCCGGAGCTCGTCCTGCCCACCGTCATCCAGGTGCCCCTTCCTCTTCATGCTCCATGCTCCATACCATGCTGTAATGTCGTGTGAGATCTTCACATAAGAATTGTTTCTTTTTTGTCAGGCTTACATGAGCATCTCTGGTCTGTCATAGTCTTTTAACGTTTATTATACCATATTGAAATAGCTATTAACTTTGTTTTTTGACTTATTTTAAGCCTTGATTGACGTGGTCTTGATTGAAGACCCCTGTATGCAATTTTAAATCTCCTCCCCGGATCTGACCTCAGCCAACCGTCCTCAGTCGTGGCCTGGTGCTCCACACCCTTCTGCACCTCGTCGTGTTGTGAAGCACTTGTCTTTTTGCACTGTCACCATCACCAGAATGTTAATGCCACACTGCTTATTGTTAATGATGGTTTGCTGTAGTCCCTGGACGGATGGCCATTTGGCAGTAGAGCAGTGTTTTCATAATACTGCAATCTGTGAACGCTGGATGATTTCCCGCCCATCCTGGTGCATTTCAGCCTGGATAATATAGTAGCCCTGCTGGCTCTTTTCCTCCTCCTGCGGCCTGAATGTTTCTTGCCTCATTCCCTTCTCCCCATTCCTGCCCATAGCTGAAAGCCTTTCTGAAGGAATGCAAAGTGGCCAATTACTGCAAGCAGATCCGGCAGCTGCTGGAGAAGGTGCAGGAAAACTCTGCTCACATCACTGCGCTCCGGCAAAAGGCTGCGTTTGGCGTCAGTGACTCAGCAGTCGTGGTAAGTCATCCTGGGCAGTGTGAGGGATGGAGTCACTGCAGAACTCACTGCCGTGCTGTACACTGTCAGGACAAAGCGTACAATTCACCAGGATACGGACATTATTGTACCCCATTTCTATACCTTAAATTAGACTAAAAGGTACATTTACCTCCAGGGTACAATTGGTTGATCCTTGAGGGTACTGCCCCAGTGACAAGTAATTGTACCCTCAAAGGCACATATTGGCACTTTTTTCTGACAATGCATGCACAGAGTTTTATATCATTTAAACTTGTGTTGTTCAATATATATCGTACGCATTTATTTTTACTGTATGCACTAACCGTTGTGGGAGAATTGTGGTTAAGACTGTGTTTATTGTTCCTCAGAACCGTTCTGCCTGTAATAAGTAGTTTGTTCATTTGATCATTTTTGTACATACAGTACAGTACTTACCCGGGATGTGCTGTTAATTGTACGCTTAAATTCAATTTAATGACCATAGCTTAAATAAATACTGTGTTTATTTTCTCCTTGTTTAAATGGCGTGTGTAAAAGAAAAGTGTCTTGCTGCATTTTAGGTTATCAATGCTTAGCTCTATTGTTGTAGTACGTGTGACTATCTGAAACCGGATCTGTCTGTCTAATGTTTGGCTGTCTGTCTGCCTGTCTAATGTTTGGCTGGCTGTCTATCTGTCTGTCTAATGTTTGGCTGTCTGTCTGTCTAATGATTGGCTGTCTGATTGGCTGTCTGATTGGCTGTCTGTCTGCCTGTCTAATGTTTGGCTGTCTGTCTGTCTAATGTTTGTCTGTCTGTCTGTCTGTTTGCCTGTCTGTCTGTCTAATGGTTGCCTGTCTGTCTGTCTAATGTTTGCCTGTCTGTCTGCCTGTCTAATGTTTGGCTGTCTGTCTGCCTGTCTAATGTTTGGCTGTCTGTCTGCCTGTCTAATGTTTGGCTGTCTGTCTGCCTGTCTAATGTTTGGCTGTCTGTGTCTGTGTATATATATATTCCCAGTGTTTAGTCGGACTCATGATGCTGCCCCCCAGCTTGGAGGAATATGTTTATGCAGGTGCCCAAACTGTAGGCCCCAGCCCTGAAATTCCTCAGATGCACTAATGCATAGACAAATGACTGCACCCCCCACCCTGCCCTGGCTCAGCCCACCCCCTCTTCCAGGGATGCCAAGGCAGGCTGGGAACCAGGGTGCCCCTCCTCTTAGCTGGTTTCACCCCTACCCTCTGTGATGTGGCGGCACGGTGGGTGCATAGGTGAACATGGGAGTTTGGGACAGGGCTTGTGTGTCTCCTTTGAATATGTTTAAGAGAGTCTTTAAAGCTCCAGGTTCCCACTCTCCCATCTCTCCAGCCACTATGATAAATATTTAAGCAGGGGTAGCTGGGTGGGGTCATGTGACTTGTGAGAGGTCATGTGACTTGTGAGAGGTCACAGCACTCAGCCGAGAGCAGGCAGACAGGGCGGCTCCTGGCTGGGGAGGCGGGAGGCAGGAGAGGGTCGGGGGGGCCGTCCCCCGGGCTCGGGGTGCCACTCGGCCGCAAGAAGCTGAAACCGAACGCCTCCCGCCTTCAGCCTCCTCCACGTCTGGCCCTGTCACCCTGATACTATAATGCTACTTACTCATCTGCTGTGGCCGTGCTCTTCTAAAAAAAACATCTTTAATTTCCTGAGACCAGCATAAGAAATCGGCCCCACCGTTGTAATTGTTAGGAACGGTCCCCATTCCGATCTTAAGACCTGGTCCTGTTTGTCGTTGTGTGGAAGTTCCACTGCTGGCCTTTTAGCTTGTAGCCTCTGCTCGCGTGTGGGGCTATAGCCTCCCTGGCCGACTTCTCCAGCATAATTCCCCCACTAAAAGTGATGTTTATACACGCAGTACCATGGGTGTTAGCTTAGCCATTTCACACCCCAGTATTTTCAGTAACCATTCAGTATACTTGCGTATTTGTTGACTTGAACACACTAGCAAATCGCGTTTGACTAATCTGTAGTTCATCAAGTGATTTATCTAATTTCATTAATTAATTGAGTTCTTTGTGAATTTTTAACGAACACATGGAATGGCTGAGGAGAGGTTTGGGAACCAAAACATGTTCTTCTTGCCGTCTAACAAGATACCAGTGCAACTTCTTCTGCTTCTTTTTGTGTTACCGTTGTGTTTAATTGTGTTTTTTAGCAACCTATGCCTTTCTTCAGTTCTGCGTTTTTATTTGTTAGGGCGAAACAACGATATATTTGTCTTCTATAGACAAATGAATCTAACCTCAGGTGACCAAAAAGGATCCTATGGCTGCAAAACAAACCAAATCACCCCTCCCCTAGGGCTGAGCGACATGACCTCAAATCAAAATCACGATTAATTTTACCTCTATTGCGATTAATGAATGATTATTTTGGTTTTTTTCCCCCTCATATTTCACTGACAAGGTTTGTACTGTAAATAAACTATTAAAGCTGGGATATTTTTTTCTAAAGACAGACTATATACCTTTATGATTTTATTGAATATTTCGAGCAACTGGAATCAAAGCACAAATTGTTTGAAATGAAAAGGCCTTGTGAAAAAGGTCACATTGTAGTTTTATTTTAAAAAGCAAGTTCCCTAAAAAGTTGAAAATAGTTGCATTTCTTGGAAGCAAAATAAATTAGTTAAACCGGTTTATTGCGATCGTGTCTGTCTGTATGAAATTGATCACTATAAGCGGATTATAGTTATAACTGATTTTTATTCCTTTTTCTTTGTCTCAGGCAGATTTCCATCTAATTGACATTTGTATATTTATTACATGCATGTAAGCGTCACTAATGAATTTTATTGACTCAAAATACAGTACAGTTGTTTCAAACGCTTTTCAAATTACAGTACTGTACAAATCAAATTACTGAACTCAAATATGCTATAATACAGTAATGAAAAAGCACTTAATGTGAAATCCATTTAATTATCATTGTGAATCAGATGTGAGGCAATGAAATTGTGCATGATGTCAGGAAGGACAAACCTATTGTTTTGGACCAAATCTGGTGCCTTTACCATCGTTCAGGGTGAGTGTTTCCCAGTTATAGTGGGAATGCTGCAGTTTTGCTAATGATGTTTGTAACATCTGCTTCCTGCAGGTGCAGTGGGAGCGGCAGGTGGCTGGGGAGGGCACCCCCCTCACGAGGTACTACAGCCAGTGGAAAAAGCTGCGTGAAAGGGAGATCCAGCTTGAGATATCTGGGAAGGAGAGGGTAAGTGTGCTCTGCTAACCGCTATGAGGAAGCTGTGAGGCTAATAGCAGGCAGGTTTATCTCCTCTAGCTAAGGCTCTGAGAGTTGATGTTTTGAAGAGAGGAGTTGAGGGCATCTTTAGAAGGTTTGCTTGCTGCTAACCAGCACCTGCATGTGGAGGAGCTTTCGGAGCACAGCCAGTGAGGAGCACAGCCAGTGAGGAGCACAGCCAGTGAGGAGCACAGCCAGTGAGGAGCACAGTCAGTGAGGAGCACAGCCAGTGAGCGTCCTGTGGCTGCCTGGCTAAACCTCACCATCAAGTCACTTCATCTCAGCTTGTTCCCCTCAATTAATTTAATGAACGATATACATTTAGGCTCTGTTCTCAGTTATCCCAAGCTTCTCACTGAATTGTAGTGCACCATTTGGTATACCAAATAAGTCTTAGGGGAAGTTCTGATAATTAAGTAATTTTTTATATATATATATACATGAATATAATTTTTCCCTGTCCCCTGGAAACATGAAGTGACACGATCCATGAAATTGTCCTGCGGCAAAATGAAATCTGTCACCAGTCGAACTTGTGACGCGTTTCAGCATGTGCTGGACCATTTCAGGTTGCTGCAAGACATCTCGCTAGCCTTTTTCAGACTTGACACAGAGCTTGTATTGGCACAAGAGCACACATGGATATTCTGCTGTCGATGATTGTGTGATCTGTAAGCAAGTTGGTGATTTCGTTTATAGGTCTATACCTGTTAACATTTTGTCTGATGATACTCAAACTGTCTGATTCCTTCTTTTGCCTTTAGATGGAAGACTTGGACTTGCCTGAAATCAAACGCAAAAAGCTGCAAGAAAGCAAACAAAAAGACAAAAAAGAGTTTAAGGATCTTTTTGAGTCAGACAGTGACTCAGACGGGGATGGGGTAGGACTCAAAGTCAAAGGTAAATATATAAACCAAAACATGTAAAAATCTCAAACTTTCTTGAAAAGGTCACATTTGGAACAGAGTGTCAGTCTTCTAGATTGTTTTGCTGTATTCATGTTAAATCCAGTTGAGCATTCATTTTATTTTGAGAAATCCTATTTAATGCATTTTTTAGAATGGATTGTGAAGATTCACTGTCTTTGTTTATTTACATACCATTGTCTTCCATTATGATGTCCTTCCATTATGATGTCAACCTACTCAGCCAGAGCCTCTGACATTAGCTGCATAGATCTGCATTAACTTGGGTGTCATGTCCCAGGTTTCACAGAATAACATATAATATTGTTTCTGCAACTAAGCATTCTGTGGTTGTATATATAAAAACGTGGAAAACAAACACCAAGAAATGTTGAATCTGGTGTATATTTAATGGTGTTGCCAGGTTCAGAGTGGTTGGCAGAGAGAGAGAGGGTGGGGGGGTAGTATGGGGTCTCATTCCTGCGGCAGCTGTGGGCGAATCCCCAGAGCTCTGGCTTTCACTTCCCCTGCGTTGGAACATTGTCATCGGTGCAGCAAGCAAATAAAAAAGCATCCAAATTAAAACATAAAGCTGTAAGGGGAGCCATATGTCATCTTTGCCGTTTGTTTTTTAGTTTTTGGGTGGTCTGTATTTTGTGGTCTCGCTTCTGTCATGGTCCAGAACATTGCTTTTTACACGAGGGCAGCAGAGGAAAAAACCATAAAAGTCAGTCATTCAGCATTGTGTACTACCTATGGTGACGATTACAAGGTCAACAATCGTGAACCTATGTCACCCCCCACTCTTCTATATATTGGGGAAACACTGTTTTTATGGGAACTCTGTCTGCTTTTCATGACAATGAATCAGTGCTTTTCCTGTTTATGCTTATACTCTTATACGTTTAATCAATTGCATTAGAGGAAATAAAATGTATCTTGGGTCAACATGGTTACGATGCACATTCCATACTGATCAAATTATCATTGGAAGATCTGGCTTTTTCCTCTTCTCTCAAGTGCCCGTGTAGGGTCTGCTTCAAAGGAGAAGCTACAAGCGGATAAGACTGATAAGGCTAGCAGACAAGCTGCCTCAGTATGTTCACGTTGGCTCTTTGCTGCTAGAACCGTGAATCTCATGATCATGATGCATCATTTTCACTTTTGATTTACAATAGACAAATTGAAGAAGGAGGGTGGGAGTGATCTGAGCACAGAGGAGGAGTCAGACATGGAAGAAGGATCTGAGGATGAGGATTTGTCAGGTGGGTAAATGACTGTCGGCTGCTTGTTTTAGCTTATCCAAGACAGTACAGGTATTTTAACAGTTTGACCCACAGTGACATCTCTGTAATTCTATGACCTTGCAGGAAATCCATATAGATTTTTGGCTTTCATTTGCACACCATGCAAAATGTGCAATGTACGTTATGTATACATAAAATATGTATTGGCATATTTTTTGTCATTAACATAAGTACAGTATTATTACACACCTGTTACGTTAAAAATAACCCAAAAAAAGTCTACAAAAGAGGTTTTATTGGACAAGACTAATCTCTGCCTGAGTCAGCAAATTATCAATTTTGTTTTCCCATTAGCTTTTTATTTTTTATATCTAGTGTTAGTGATACGTATAACATCTACATAGTGTTTTCTATCAACTAAGGCAGGGGTGTCGAACTCCAGTCCTGGGGGGCGGAGCCCTGTGTGTCTTAGTTCTTTCCTTGTTCCACCATAAATGATTCAGCTCAAGAGCTATATGGTAATTCGCACAAGGAGCTGAATCAGGTGCGTTAAATGAGGGGAAACCCAAAAATGTGCAGGTCTCTGGCCCCCCAGGACTGGAGTTGGGCACCCCTGGTCTAAGGGAATACTTATGTCAGTAGTGATAGACGTACAAATATGAGTTCACCTTTAATCCTGAAGAATCTGCAGCATTTCTTTGCAGGGCAACTTCATTTATGAGCGGGCAACCTGGGGTTACCTTGGAGGTTGCCCTGTGAACGACTTGGAAAAATCCTTAAATCCGAGCACTGATTTAGCAAAGTAAATCTATACACCGAGGGAGCACTTATGGATGTAATCAATTCTGCAAATGAACTAAAGGCCACAAAGCTCTGTATTGAAAACTCATTTAATCTGGAACAATTATCAAAGCCTCACAGTCATGTGGTTGATTACCAAAGCATTGAATAAGTATCAACTGTAGCAGATTAGTGTATAGTAATTGTATTTAAAAGTAACGTTAAGTTTTGTGCAAGCGGCCTAACCACCTGTATTTCTCACTTCCTCTGAGGTCGGCTGTATATGACATGCCTCATGGTTTCTTGCCTGCTTTATGAAAGATTTTGTACATACTAGCAAAATGTAGCTCAGCTGTTTATGCTGCTATTGATTACTTGGTCTGTTTCTAGCTTATGATATAATCATATGATGGATGGATACGGCTGAACTGCAAACTACCCCGATGAGGAAGAGAATGTGGTTTATGGTTCACTGTGTTCATTCAGCCCTGGCAGAGTGTTGCAGGGTTATTTCAGTGTTTTGGCTCTTCTCGCAGATGATGATGACGATGATGACAGCTGTGATGAAGCCGAGGACACGAGGCAGCAGGCTGTATGTAAGGTGGATTTGAAGGAGCTGGCTGCAGGAGACGAGGACATGGTAGAAGATCTTGAGCTGTCTGATCAAGACTAGATGATTTCAGCCTCTGGACTGTTGCGGCTTGACGTTAGTATCACAAGTGGCAGGGTGACATAGTGACAAATGTGCTTTCCCAGATAAACATAGAATCAAGGCTTGGCCCTTCCCACCTTTCCTACTGAACTTTATAGCCGCCATTAGTTATGTTTATTAAACTCGTATTTCTGTATTTTTCATGAATGACACTTTTCATGAATGCGAACGAAAATGTAATTTCTGTTTCTGTCTGAGTTGCTGTTTACGCCAAGAACTGTTATCCATGTATACATGCGTGTTCATTGCCAGTACAGTGAGTCAACACGTGGATCAATATTAAAGTGAACAAATAAGTCATCATGCTTATTTAATTTCGTGAAAATCTAGTAGTAGTAAAACCACCTTTCGGGAGCAGGTATGCAGCCAGATCTTTTGAAAATGATCATTGATCATTTTGGTCTCATTGTTTTTGGGATCTTTAAGGGCCATTTCCTATCCTGCTCTTCAATTCACTCTTCCCTTTTCCAGTTTCTTTTCTAGTTTTCACAGTGTTTCTGAGATGATTTCTTCTGTCCCCTACAAATAGGGCCTGGTTTTTATAAATGGGACGGTCTTCATCCTAACTGGAGAGGATCATTTATGTCAAACATGGCATGTAAATTGCCTGCCTGACTGCGAGCACCAGCCAGGCCTCAGCCTTGTGATCTTAAATCGAAGGCTGTTTATTCTCCCACCTTTAGATCATGTTGGGCCTGGACCCAGGTGCTCCATCACTATTAGACTTGAGTGAGTCTTCTAGGCTCCCACCCTTATCCGTGCCGTCTGCGCAGGCTGCTGCCCCATCCCTTCTGTTCAACTCTTTGTTGGTTATTTTTTGCCCTCAGCACATCTGAGAACTTAACTCCTTTTTCAGCCAGAGGATTCAAAGGTCAACTTTGTTGCTAATAGTGCAAATACACGAATAGTCCTCTTGGCTTACAGTCTCCTAGCAACCCACACACCCCCAAGGATGGAAGCCTCAGCTGCAAACCATTCCAGTGAGGTGTAATTTCATAGTCATGCCACTTGAAGCTCTGTGTTACATTTCAGTTTCGGTCACATCTCCATCAAGCTCAATTTAACATAATGCATGTTGTTAATGGAAAAATGACCTGTCTCTTTCTGTAAGTGCTTAAACATTTCCTAAAACCATACAGCATTTTCTTAAAACTATAAAAGCAAAACCAGAATTCACACCGCATCTACAGAACCTCTGACTAATCTGCAGGGGTGGGTTTGCAGTTGATGGGCCCCTGGCATCTCTGTCTGTAAAGTTTGCTGCAATCCTCATCAGACGTTTCATTGCTGGTGCTGCAGAAACCGGTCAGTTTAAGCAAATTTTCTCTTGGAGGCTAATCATCTTTGTCATGGCGCCACTGGGCTATGATTGCTTCTTGGTTGCATATGATGTTAACGCTACTGTCTGAAGACTGTAGCTAGGTTGTTGGTTAGCAGAACATGCTGAACATTCAGCATCTCATAAATAAGGAATGTGTTTGTTTAATATTTAGTGTAGTGCGTCTTTGTGGCTAAATCTCATGCAAATGTGTGGTTTGAGTGGCAATTAACCTCTTTGCTGCTAATCAATGAAATATAATTGTATGATAAACATTTCTGAAAAATCACTGCACATATCTATTAAATATGTTGCGTTCTACATGCTAGCATCTGTTGGAAAATATGTGAAGGAAGACTGGTAAGAATTTGCTTTTCAAATAGTCCAATACAGGACTCTCTGGTCTTGTTCAAACAGCATCCCGCACACCAGTGAGAAATGTCAGCGCATGCTCTGTGTTACACCCCCCCCCCCCCCCCCAAGGTGCTGGAGGAGCTCGTGATGACTGATGCCCAAGCAGGCAGGGATCTGCCATCTTTTTCCTGCACATTCAGTCCAGCCTCATCCACAAAAGCTACATATGCAGCCCTTCCAGGTTCCAGTTCAAAAATTCTCAACAATATGTAATATACAGCATTTACAATAGCAGTTACAGTACTACTACTCACCATGCAAGGAAATGGAGGGAGTCTGCATTCTTAAGAGAATTTATTTTACTAGGAGTAAATATAAAAATAGAACAGAGACATTGCTTATTGGGGAAATGTAAAGACCATTTTAATGTCTGCTTTCCTGTTGCTAAAAAGTCCATAACAGTTGTTTTGCATAAAGAGTCTTGTGCCTTTAAATTTCCTGTAACCAATACGGAAAATGGTCAAATCTTTGGCATCCGTGTAAAGGATGAATTAAACACTATTACACAAACCAAACTACAACAAAACACAATTTTTCATTTTTATATGCTATTTCAAGATATTCTTTTTTAAATATCACTGAACGCTTAAGAGTTCGAACCAGAGTACCACCAGTTAGCAAGCCACATTTTAATAATGGAAAATGTCATTACTGAAGCCATACATTAAAAAAATGTACTACTTGTATAACTCGATTTTTTTAACCGCCACTGTACATTTGAGCATAGATCACTCCCCTTCAGTAGTAAGCAATATAAAGACGGAGGCAACATATCATAGTGCTTGTCAACACTAGGCAGCCATTATTCCCAGTCTCTGTCCATGAGTTTACTTCTGTTACTTCCTGTCAGGGAGCAGAATGCCACTCTTGCGCCAATGAGTTAGTATGTACCTCAGCTCAGTAAGCCCACACTGTCAGGTCGGTGAAGGAGACACCTCAAGCCTTGTCAGAACCTCTGTGTATCCCGTCTTTCATCTTTGGTATACAACCACGGAATGCATAGTTGCAGAAACAATGTGCTTTGCAGCTTTTCATATTTACAAACGAAGCTTCTCTTCGGGACAGGATGGGAGTGGGGGGTGTGGTCCCTCCAAGTACTGGAAGTTTGATTCCTGCCCCCAGCTTTGCACGTCCACCCTCTGTTTGTGTGGGTCTCTTCCTGCAGTCCAGAAAATGCAGTTAAGCTGGCATCTCTGAAATTGACAGTATCGTGTGTGTAAGCGAGCGCCTTGTGATGAACGGACAAGCAACCCAGAGCGCTTCCTGCCTCCTGCCCTCAGCTCCAGGTTCACGGTGACCCTGTACTGCTTAAGTGCTCATAGGAGCCGGACAGACGACATGGGGCTGAATGGCCCATCTATCCTAAACACATGATTCTCAGCTGCACCCCTGGCAGGTTTGGGAAGATCGGGAGCATCGACGGGTTCGCTGGGAAGGCGTCTGCTTGTCAAGAAGGAAGAAACTACATGAACCTTTTTTTCCCCCCTTGGACCCTGAAGGACCAGGGGTTGGTTTGTATCCTCGTTCTCCTCAATGTCCTTCTGGCTGCTCTGTGACCAAGGAGGGAAGTGAAGGTGATGCAGTGAGAGCTTTGGCAGCTTCAAAAAGGAGACTTCAGGAGCTGCTGCCAATCTGTATAGATAGGCAGATAGCAACCCCCCCCCCCAAACTCCAAAAAGCTTCCCCACAGGCGCAGGCCAGAGTCCCATGCTGCTCCTAGCAGGAATGCTTGGCACCGTCACAGGAGGTTGCAGAGAAGCCGTTCTCGTGCTTGGGCGAGGGGCGCCCCGGGGCGGGGCACAGAGTGACGCCCGCAGAGAGAGGGCGCGTGTCGCTGGGGGCCTGGTCCCTGTCCGCAGGCCGCAGGACAGACGGCGGCAGCGGGAGAGCGAGCGGGAGGCTGGTCATGTAGAGGATCCGGCCAGCGCGCCGTGCCACCTGTGGGGGAGGGGCCAGCGCCCAGTACATCAGCACTGTAACACTGCACCCTCTACAGTCCATTCAGAGGTACTGCAGTAACATACACTCACTACCAACACTGTACCTGACAGAAGACGGTAGTTCTCCTGGGCACAGCCAATTGGTTGATGTGTTTTTCAGATTTATTGTCACGACAAACACAAAGTGGGTAAAATTCTTATTTGGAGCTCAAAGCACCAATGTGCTGTCAGAGTACACAGTACTCAGCGGTACAGATTAATGGTGTAATGTGCTAAATAAGTATAAATACAAGTACAGGATGAACAGATACTGCGGGATGGACGTGTTTTTATAATGGTCAACGGTTTTATTGATTTTAGGCAACGATGAACACATTCATGCTGGTGTGGTGAAAAGATCAGAATTCGAGACAGAAATCATAACAAGATTACATTTAGATAAGAGCCTGCATAGGAGCACTCTGTCCACTCTGCAGTTAGCAGCTACATGTTGGGCTCTATCTCTCTCCCCCTCCCTCCCGCTGGGCCCAGTCCCTCAAAACAACAACCTGTGACAAAGCCAGGTTAGGTCTGCAACCACGGCTTAGCTTAATAATCAGCTTATTAGTCTTTATAAAAAGGTTACTGCAGTTTGTAGATGGCAGGAGGCGTGAGGATGCAGGAGCGTTGGGGGTATGTGGGGAGGGGGGCGGTAGCGGAGGTACAGGAAGGCAGCGGTACCTGGGAGCGGATCTTCAGCGCCGGGCCCAGTTTCAGCCCCATGGTGTTCAGCAGGTGTTCTTCAGTGAGCAGCAGCAGAGTCTCGCCGTCAATGCCCTGCTCTTGGAACACCTGGGGGGGGCGCCGGCAAGCTCTTAAAGGGAACGAAACCTAACTCGCCCCCCACCCCCCCTGCCATGCCCTGCCCATCTGGTTTTAGTCTATTGGCGTTTCATGATGCATTTCAGTGACACCTGTGTGGCCCTATCAGAGCAGGGCTCACAGGCTCCTCCCCTAAAGGCAGGTCATAAATCACTGTCCAATCACATGACTGAACGTCTATTAATGGCACGCAGTGTCCTGTTCCATGCATACGCTGTGTCACCTGGGGGGTTGATTTGGGTGCTGCTTTTCAATGCGGTACATGGTCCTTACTAAACCCCACCGGTCTCTATACTGTCACGAAAAAAACAGTATGTACCTTTGAGGGTACAATTACTTGTCAGTTAGGCTGAACCTTCAGGGGTCTGCCAATTGCACCCTATCTGTAGGTAAATGTCCCTTTTAAGGTACAGAAATATACCCTGAGGAACATTTTTGTACCATTGGGGTTACATTAATGGTGTTTGTACCTTGGGGTACAAAACTGTACCAGGGCTGTACCCTTTTTTCTGACAGTTTACACACACATCAGATGATATCAGTACTCCTTTGGCTGCAGGGATTTTATATGCTGTTTTCACTATTATTACTGCTGGACATTCATACTGTTAATTCTACCATATACTGTTTTTTCTGTTTATACTGAACCTACCATTTGCACTGTTTTATTGAATTGCTATTTTTCAGTAGTGTACTGGTTCTGATTAGGTTTTAAATATTTACTACTGTACTGGTATTTTAACTTATTTTTATTAATTTTTTTTAAC